AAAAAAAATCAATATTGAGTAAAATTATCTTAATATTTTTTATTTATAGATAATTGTAAGTTGTTCAAATACTATAATACTTAAAAGAAATATTTAATTTGAATGAGTATATAAAGTAAGTTATTCTTTATTACAATATTTAACTTTTTTTTTTAATATTAAAGTTTTTGTCTTTGGGAATTAATGTTTTTATTCAAATCTTTAAACACAGATGCCTTCAGAAGCATGTATATATAAAAGATTACAACTAGTCACATATGTACTTTTGGTGTCTAATTTAAGTAGTCTGCTAATATATTACTATACAGGTTCTATACTAGGTACTATATCTGCAAGCCAACTACAGATCTTGTTTATTTAAACTCTTTGCATATGTAGTTCAACTTGTAATCACATAAACATCTTCTGAGCTATATCTATTCAAAGTATCTGATGCTTTCAAGACCCTTAGAACTACTTTATCCTTAACAGAAAACTTACTAGAACTTTTTGTGTCTTACATATAGCTGATTTAGTTTTATAAAATATGCTATAGTTATTTAATATTTGCAATCACAGAAATTATCTGTTTAATTACTACATTACACTATTTCTATTCTTGTAAAATTCACTAGAACTCTAGTCCTTATTATTGTGACATCTTTTTATTATCTCTTACTAACTACCACTCAGAACTGATAGGACTCTTTTAATATCTAATCCAAATAGTCTAATATAGTATATATATATATTCTTTTTCTTTAATAATTCCAATATTCTAGTTGGTTATATACTCTTTTATACATCTTGTTATCTAATTTATCTGCCTCTTCTTTTGAGATATTTCATGGGTTTTCATCAGTCTGACTGTACTGTCAAAAGTTCATGTTACCTCTTTACTTAGTGATCTCTAAATAGGCTTCTGATTCTTCAGTTTCTTAGTTTATTGCATCTAGTAGTTTTATTATAAGTTTGTACAAAAACCTTATATAATACTAGTTATTAACATTTCTTTATGTATATATAATATTACATTTTGAATAGATAACCAGAGCTTCTATTTAAGATAGTGCAACTTAAGATTACAGATACATTGATTTAACTGATCATCAAGAAACAGTTTGCTGTAATACAGTTATAATTTTTTAAATTTTATCATAAGTAGGATTTAAATACTAGACTTTTATTTAAAGAATAACAACTTAACTAATATACTATAATTATCATCTTCTCTAATTTTTTTTTCTTTATATTTTAAATCTATTACTTATAAGAACAAAAGATCTATATGGACAATTTTTGGATATGTTACCAAAATAAATAAACTTGTAGATACTCATTTATAGAAAAAAAAAGAACTAAAGTAAATAAAGTAAGGTTAATATACTTAAACTAACTGTTAGATACAAGAGTTAAAAGATTAATTACATGTCATAAGCAAAAAAATTTCCAAAGTCTATCAAATAAAGAGAAAAAAGCAAAGTAGATCAAAACAATAAAAATAAAGATGCTTAGTAAATCAGAAAACAAAAAGGTTAAGAAATACTTTAAGACAAATAGACAAAATATGTAAGCAATACAAGTTAAATAAGAAAGTATTTCAAAAATAAATGAAGAAAAGAATAAATAGTATATGGTATGTAGAATTATAAGTAACTAAAAAAATAGTCAAAAAAAAATTAGTAGAACACTGGCAAATGCAAAGTAAAGAAGATGAACTAATCATTAAAATTAATAAATATGATAGCTGTATAAAAGAAAAAAAAACAAAAAGAAAACAATTGCCAATAATAGATTAGAGCAAATAGCAAAATCAATATGGTTCTAAACATGTTAATAAAAAAAAAAGCAACAAAATTAATATAATAATGAATTAAATAGTAGAAATAGTTAAGACAAACAAACTAGAATTTTGAGAACAAAAACTCAAAAGAATTAGAATAATAGAAAAATTAGAAATAAAAATTATTAGACAACAAAAACTGAAAAAAAATATTAATCAAAAAATAATAAAAGTCTTAAGAAAGAAGATAACAAGAAACAAAAATAAGTATATAATATATACAGATAGTGTAGCAAACTTAAAAGATAAAGAAAATATAACAACTAAAAATAAAATAAGTATAAAATGAGTTCAAATAAATGAAACACAAGAATATCAGAAGAAAAAAAGAACTAGATTTAGAAAAATAACAACCATTAATAATAGCTAAACTAATAACAATATGAGTAGCAATCTTAATAATACTTAAGAAAAAGTAAATAAAAATATATACAAATAGCAATGTTGCAATAAGAAACATTAGTAGAGGTTTAAAACAAATAAATAGAAACAAGATTCTTAAAAAGAAAAATGCAATATGAATAATAAAGATTAAAGACCTTATTATAACAAACACATATAAATAGAGTTAATTAAAATAAAAATTATAATAAAGATAAATGAAACAATAAGCTGATAGTCTAGCAAAGAAAGAAGCAATAAGCAAGAAGACAATACAGACTGAAGAAGTTAGTTGTAAAAAAATAAAGTACTGCTTGGAGTAGGAAAACAAATGAATTGATATACTAGTAAGATTGCTATGCAAATTAATAACAAATACAAAATTAGAAACAGAATAAAAATAAATCAGAGCAATTAAGGACTTAGAAACAGAAATAGAAGTTATAATCTATAATTAGATGTATTTTGAAAAAGACTAAAGAGGACCAAAAGGGTACATTATATGATAAAAAAAATAGGGAGCTGGTATTTTCATACCCTATTTTTGGTATTTCTACACCCCTTGCAGATCAATAAATTATACAATATATTTTTACAATAAGATCAACATACATCTGCATATATTTTTATAATAGGATTGACATACATATACTTAATATAATTATATATATATTATAGCACAATGAATATTAACAAATCAAATTAGTCAAAAACATTCAGTACTGTACATACCAATATATATGTAGATAATAGTAATTCGATTCTACATTTATTGTTATTACCTTTAAATACAGCATATTAAAGACAATTACTAAAAACTATTCATAATTATTTACTACTCAAATTATTCACCTGCCTAAAAAATTAGCTTTCAGCACACAAATCATAAGTGCTATGAATATTGCTATTAATATATAAAATCTTTTCTCAAAATTAAAACCTACACTAATTGTCTTAACTATCTTTTATTAAATATTTCTGGATTTATCACATAGATATTTTTTTACTTTATATTCATGTATAGTGAGAATTAATATTTTTTAATGGCTTTATAGCGATTTTTAGAAGTGATACTGGTAAATAAGTTACAATCCAGTCAATTGATTTCATATAAAAAGTTCTGTGGTTTTAATATATTAAAATAAAACAGGTTCTGACTGCTACCATTGTCTAAAATTAGATAGATATATGGGAGTGCCCATAGCAAAAGCAGAGGATGGGACTATGTATTATATAGTCTCATCTCCTGGTCTTGCTGTAGGCATTCCCATATATGAATTAGCTAGTATCAGTATATTATTATTATTGGGAAAATTTATGCAAGGGCTTTTTTTATATAGCACTATAAGTATAGAAATCTGTGCTTTACTATTACTGTTATAGAGACATGTGATATTAAAAAAGCTTAATAAAAAAATTTTGGATTATACTTTCTTTATTAAAATATATTACTCATTGTTAAGATTGTATATAGAAAAATCAAATTAAAAACATGGTTAGTAAAAATACAAGAAAATATTATAAACGAATGTATATTTAAGACTTACATACATATTATATAGCACCTCTGAAATAGAGTTTATTTATAAATCCTAATAAGTAATAAAATTTAACTATAATAATTTTTAAAACTTTTGTTTAATAAAGCACAAAGGTTATATCATAAATAAGTGATCTAATGAATTTGATTGTAATGTTATTTTTTTCAAATTAGTAATCTAATTTATAAAAAAAATTAAAAAATACATTAATATAGACAATTATTCTATCTACAACCTATATAAAACCAAATTCAATATTTTATATATTTCATATCAATTTAATACTAGAATTTTTTAAACAGATCTCAATTAATATCAAGTTTATAAATCATGACTAGAGCAAGTTCTACTATTATGTCCAATATTATGACATATGCCACATTTTCTACGTATTAGTTGTTTTTGATTCTTCGAGTTGATGTTTGAGTATTGTTTCTTGATTCTATTGGTCATCCTCGGGTATGTGCAATAGTTGGGTCCAGTAAATGCATAGGTTGTTCTTTAATTATTTTTGAAAGCTCATTACAAGCCCTTGTTTGTTATGAAACCATCCAGATTTTATATTGTTAATAGAATTCTTCAAGCAGTTGCTCTAATTAATTATCATTTGCCAAATCTTGTTGAGATGATATACTTCTATCAATTCACCAATGTTGATTAATGTCATGAAGGTTTAATATTTGGCAGGCAACAAGACATTTTTTGATCGTATAAGCACAGAATAAACCTATTGTTAAACTTAAAGTACCAGTGCAAGTTGGCAAAGGGTTAGCAGAATTGGCTAATAATGCTTTAAGATATTGTTCGTGCACTTTTTTTAATACAAAGAAAGAAACTTTAGTAATGAGTTCACAGTAAAATAGAATATTTTGTTTATGTAAGATTCATATTTTTTCTTGGGCAACCATTGCTTTAATTTCATTATGTTGGTTTTCAAGTAATAATAAAATTTTTTCATATACCATGTTAAGATTTCCTGTTAAAACCTGAATATTAAAATATAATGTACAATAAGATTAAGAATAAAGAACGTCTCTATTGTGTTCTATGTTAAAAAAAAAAAAAAAAAAAGAGTAAACCTGAATATATTGCTTTAAAACTGAATGGGCACCCTCTGCCTGTGAGGTTACAATATTACCTAGATGAAGGTACTTGTCAGTTCATACACTTACAAATCGGTCTTTAAATGGCAACCAAGTATTTTGAACATAATTGATTATAAATAAATTTTCATAATTAGTATATAACTTCTGCCATTAAGTCACAAAATCCTTCTCTGTCTTTGAGTTTATTACACTTGTCCAACCTTTAAGAAATTCTGCCCATTTATCCTCATTATAAAAATTTTTTTTACATTTACTCAAAATTTTTTTGTCAATATGCTATTGACAAAGAAAATTTTTTGATTTAGAAAACACTTGTTCAAGTGCATTAACAAGCCCTAACTCATGATCTGTTACAACAAGTTTTGGTTTGTCAATTCTATTGAACAAATGGGATACCTGCATAAGTGCCTACTTATAATCTTTCTTATTCTTATTTTTAAAAAACACAAAGCATGAAAAAAAAGTTGTGTTGAAAGATGTTACTCCTACAATATTTAATAATGACATCCTGAACTTATTCATTTTATATATACAATCCATTAATAACACAGAAGAATATGTATGAGTTAATTCAATGGATTGTTTGTGAAAGAAAAAAAGGTGCATTATATGTTCTTCTGAATTATACATAAAATCATACTCAAATGGACCTTTTTTAAGATCATCCAAAAGTGCCTGAATAGGCATTCTTCCTTGGAGGTATTCATGACAAAGCTTTTTACGAGCATTGTAAATATCTTGTGATTTGGTTATAACTGAACTATCTTGATTGAAAAAAGATAAAATTTGCTGAGGATAAATACTGGCTTTTGATATAGTATCCAATTGTTCAAAAGCTTGCTTGTCTAGTTTCTAAAGAGATAGGTGAGCTGATGGATCTTTAGATCATTCATAGTTATGTTCTGGGTTACTAATGAACAAATTTCATAAATTATCTGATTTTTTTTTCCACAAAGTGTAAAAGGGCAGCTTATAAGCCTTGAATCAGTATTCCTATAGCACGTCTCATTGGTAAGACTTAGGTGATTTTGATAGTTTCCCCCCTCCTCCGATCACAAGTTAAGTATACAGTGTTTGGCTTGGATCTTGCAATTAATACTCCATATCCGTTTGTTACACCAAAACTCCAGACATGCTCTATTAGCACATCATGACTTGAAACACCTCAACAGGAGGAGGAAGCATAACTACTATATGTTTTAAGTATAAGTATTTAAAAAAAAAATTTCTTTGATTAAAGCATATAATGTTTTGTATTTCTCTGTTTAAATATTATGTTAACTACCTTTTCTTTATCATGTGCTTTAACTTAATATAAAACAAGATATATATGCTTCACAGAATTAATCACTACTGTAATCCAGCTAAAGATTTTTTAATACTTTATGTATTGTTTAACCATAAAACTTTGTACTAATGTTCTTTATACGATTTACTACATAAGTATTGGTTACTTTTATTTTTCTTAAGCAAAAGTGAAAATTTAATATTTTATTGATCTTTTCCTTTTATACCTTATAACTATTACATAATTGTCCGGAGCGTAGCAGAGGACGCTCAATTTCTATGCAAAGTGATACAAAAGTTACGTTTTTGATGCACCAAAAGTATCATTATTGATGCATCAATAATAAAAATATCAAAAACGTAACTTTGAATTTTCCGTCTGTCTCCACTTGCATATTCGTGTAACACAACAAATCTCATGTGATTTCGCTCCGGACTTATAACGGTTTCCGTTTTCTAGTTGTACTATATTTGTTTTAATCTTTAATGTATTACAATATTATATGCTGACATTATATTTCTGATTATTTTCTGATTTAATCATAAGACTGTATTAACTTAATTACTACATATGTAACTGATAAAATATTCACCAATCAGATTTATATATTTTAACAAGAGGCACTCTCTATATGAGAGCATAAGAATAAAAACCTAGAAACTGATTTAATGATTTACTATGCTCAGTTTTTAGGTTTTTATATTATGCACTTGCACTCATAATTATATAAAATATATGTATATTTTATGTTAACAGCAAGAGATAATGACAGACTTACAGATTTATCCCAAAAAAAAGCTCTAGAAAAAATGATCAAAACAACTGATGACATTCATATACTCACAAGAGTTATTATATACTTCAAATTAGAAATAGAATTCAAAATATCACTTAAACAAATATGTATTAATTACAACTAATTCTACTATCCTGCAGCTAAAGACTTCTTAATAAAACACTTAAAATTTCAATTCCAGAACAATATGAAGATTCTCTTTTCATACAAAACTCTAAGCCATCTACATCTCAAGAAGTAGATAAGGACACATCTATACCCTTAAAGAAAACAACAAAAGCAACAGAAAACACTACTCTTACCATGCAAGAGGAAAGTATAAATCCTCCTTTTCAGTAATGTCTTCTACAGAACTCATCGATGCAGCTGCCATCTCTAAAACTATGATGTCCTCTACATTTGGGCCATCTTTAGAGGAGAATGATGACAATAGGCAGGCAGTAAAGCCTAGTGTGAGCAAATCTGTAGAAGA